GGTTATTAATTTTATAATAATTTTTCAAAATAATGAAATTTAAAATGTATAATCATTAAATCGTTTTTAAACGCTTGAATGTACCAAATGACTATGTTATTTTACTACAGGGATTTTAATTTCATTTATAAAACGCCCTGGTAATGTATAAACCCTAGGGTATTGTATTGTATACTGTAAAATATTGTTTTCTCCGTGTTTTCTCTAGATTGCTGTTCAATGTATTGCTTTCACCCCTTTTCACACAGCGAAGCACATGTTTTGTTGCGTCGTTGATTAACCATGGCCTCTACCATTCCATATGGGTTATTAATTTTATAATAATTTTTCAAAATAATGAAATTTAAAATGTATAATCATTAAATCGTTTTTAAACGCTTGAATGTACCAAATGACTATGTTATTTTACTACAGGGATTTTAATTTCATTTATAAAACGCCCTGGTAATGTATAAAAATAGTTTTCAATTGTGATACGCCACGGCGTATCAAGTGGACTTGGAACGTCTTTCTTACAGTGTGCTGCATCGCCGGCTGGAAGTTTAGGGCCTGTGGTTTTGACATGCTTTATTAATGTCCATAGCGCACACTAAACTATGTGCTTTTGGAGCATTTTGGGGAAATTGACTCTCCTTTTTTCCATCCCAAACAAAATATTATTAATAAATCAACATGGTCCATCTCAGTCATCATAGTCAGTCACAAAATTAGGCTAGGAAGTTTGTTTTCAGCAGCAGACACACACTACAGAACGGAGTGCGTCAAAAGGAGTGTTTGCTAATTTTTATAAGGAATCATGAAACGTCCTAGAATAGGCCTGACTTTTTTTCGTCCGCTGTTGCAAAGAAGGGTTATTGATTTCAAAATCAATTAGCCTAGCCTAGATGCTGACTAGCTTGGTTCTGCTCGTTCATTTAGACAGAATTATATCCCGATGACAACAAACTAGTGTAGGCCTAAGTACAGTATTACGTACTGCAGGTAGTAGGCCTAGGCTTTTGTTGTAAAAGTTGAAGTGCATGTACAAAATGCACCATAGACCTATGTTAAAAAAAACCATTTTGTTAATTATTATTGGTTGGCCTGGGACCGAGGCAGGCAGGATAGCTTTACCGTCGAAAGTCCTGGAATTCGACGATGACGTCAGTGCACGTTTACAAACGCCATTAATTAGAATGAAAATAGGCGCGCTGAATTTCGTTTTTTTTTTTCATGAAAGATAGAATTTATCGAACATTTATCTATATAAAAACAAGATTAATATTGTAGAAATTGTATTTCTAAAGATGCATATAATTCATATTTCATTTGGCAGACAATAAATATTCAGGAAAATATAATAAAAACGATTATTAATTCTAAAATGTGCATCAAATCTCAGCTATTATTAATCAGTACGGTATGTAGCCTATTATGTTTAAAGTATTAAAATAATAATTTCGCATTAGGCCTAGTATATAACAAATAATTGTATTAAAGTTTACGTTTTCATGATGTCAGATAACGTATTGAACTTGCTATATTTTGGGCTCTTGAATTTAACGATGGCCCTGTCAGTAGTAGGCCTAATGACAATATTTGTGCTTTTTTTAGTCATGTAGTAAAAAAGTACTATTATTTTCAGTGTACAAAATGAGAGTCAATAAGATGTAGTAGAAGAAGAATAGGAAGAGGAAGAGGAGGAAGAAGAAGAACTTAGCTTTTTTTTTAAATAATAATAAATGTGTTGAATATATTGATATTAATTGTGCGATGAGGGTTTTTTTTTTTTTATATCTTTCGGTGTTATTTAAACATGCCAATTCTCAGAAAATATTTTCTAATTTTATTATATTACCACCTTTTTATTACATACCGGTAGATCTTTTTCAAAACATAACTGCTTTAAAACATCATTTATAGACCCATTAAACCCCACCGTGGCCCTTAGGCAGACCCATGGACCCCACGCCCAGAGAACCCCCCCTTGAGATGACCTGGCTACGGGCCTGTAGGAGAGAGAGGTACATTCCCAATACATTATGGTCTTCCACTTCTACATGATACAGTGCATAGCAAACGTTATGTAACCACTAATAATACTCAGGTCCAGTGGCGTAGGTATGGGCAGTGCAGTCAGTACACAGCACTGGGGCCCGGGGCTATTGGGGGATCATTCAATAGGTATAATGATCTAAAAATTTAACTTTAAAAAAATCCTATTCAAACTTTAAAAGGACCCTTCAATAATATTAGGCTTTACAGGCTATAGTTATTGATTATATTCATTACAATTTACCTACCTATTTCCCAAACGCTGCAAGTAAAAAAAAACAAAAAACAATACAAGCACTTACGTATACGATGGACTAATATACTTTTTGAAAGCACATTTCTAAAGCAATACAATATCGTCACGCACATTTTGTGTTTGTGGTACAGTATTTTAAAGTTGGTTAAACTATTATTGTGTACGTTTTCAAACACTTCAGATCATCATAACTTCATGAATAGATTTTAGATTCAGTTCACTGCAAGTAGGTCGATGACTGTTCTATTATTGAATGGTAATTGTTATCATCGTGATGGAATAGACAATACCTGGATTTGCGTCAGGAGAATCAAAGGGGCCTATGTATTTTGCCCAATTTGTCTTGAAAATGTATTGAATACGGTACTCAGTGCGTGATTCACTAATACACTTTTTGAAATCCCATTTCTAAAGCAATAAAATATCGTCACGCACATTTGTATTTGTGGTATTTTAAAGTTGGTTCAACTATTATTGTGTACGTTTTTAAACACTTCAGATCATCATAACTTCATGAATAGATTTTAGATTCACTTCACTGCGAATAGGTCGATGACTGTTCTATTATTGAATGGTAATTGTTATTATCGTGATGGAATATACAATACCTGAATTTGCGCCAGGAGAATCAATTAGGGGGGCCATATATATGTGTAATTTTGCCCAACCTGTCGTGAAAATGTACTGAATACTCAGTGCGTGTGAAAACACTTGCAAAATATATTTGCAAGTTGTTCTCCAGTGGGACTCGAACCCACATTCTCCA